GTGTGTGTGTGTGTGTGTGTGTGTGTGTGTGTGTGTGTGTGTGAGAGTGAGTGAGTGAGTGAGTGAGTGAGTGAGTGAGTGAGTGAGTGAGTGAGTGCGTGCGTGCGTGCGTGCGTGCGTGCGTGTGTGTGTATGCGTGTATGCGTGTATGCATGTATGCATGCATGTATCATCATCAAGGGCTAACGCCGAAGGGGGCGCATGGCCGCATCCACCCTTCGCTTCCAGCCACGAGGGTCCCTCAAGGCGAGTCTCCAGGCTGGCCCTCGGCCCATCTCGAACTCCTCGCGGCAGGTCTACTCGAGCTGCCCAAGCCATGACCTCCTGGGTCGTCCCACGGGCCTCCTCTACTCAGGATTGCCTCGCAGAGAGACACCCTGATGGGCAGGGGCATCCACCGGGAAACGAACTAGGTGCCCATAGAGCCTGAGTTGGCGGTCCCAGATTAAGCAAGTAACAGAGCCCATGCCAGTCTCACGGTCCCCATGATCCGGCGAAGAGACTTGTTACAAAAGGCTCCAAGGCTCTAGATAGCGTCCAGGTTTCGCTTCCCTAGAACAAAACTTGCAGTATCAACGCCTTGTGTGTATGCATGAATGCATGCATGTATGTATGTATGTATGTATGTATGTATGTATGTATGTATGTATGTATGTATGTATGTATGTATGTATGTATGTATGTATGTGAGTGAGTGAACGAGTGAATGAGTGAGTGACTGAGTGTGTGAATGAGTGAACGAGTGAATGAGTGAGTGAGTGAGTGTGTGAATGAGTGAACGAGTGAACGAGTGAGTGAGTGAGAAGCAGAAGCGGAGAGAAGAAACTGGGCGACGGGAAGAGCAAGAAAGGGAAAGAAAGAGTAAACGCCCGACAGCAAGGACTCGCGCATTCCCAAGCACCTGTCAGCCTATTTGGGTAAATGTTTAGAAATCTTTCTCTTTTCTTTTTCTCAGGTAAGTAATCTGTCCCCCGGTATCTTCCTGGCCGCTCACCTGACGATGCCCCTGGCGGGCGGCGCCCCCGGACGAGGGTCGCCTCTGGGCCTAGCCTCGGCCGCCTGCGAGGAGGAGCCCTTGATCCTGAGCGAGGCGGAGCGGTTGAGCACGGGGATGCGGGAGGCCCTGGACGCCGTGCTCAGCGCCGAGCCCGGCCGCTCCTCGTCGGGGGGCGTGCCGGGGGGGAGGGAGGCCCCCGAGGGCGACATCCCCGACGCGTCCATCCCCAGGC